ATAATAATTTTCCTATAGTGTACTATGTGGAGCTCTACTAATTGCTTAATATTAATATTATGCAGGAAGTATGTACAATAGTTGACCTAAAATTCACTGATAATATTATTTAACTCTATTAATTCGCAACAGTTGCATTAATGGAATATGCTGATAAAATCTATCCAGTATTGATGTACATTATCGATATGACTGACACGATGTTGTTAACTGATGTTCTTTGATGCGTGGTATGATTTAATCTGAAAATTTAAAGCTGTATTCAACCGTAGTGTGGTGAGTCAATAGAAACCCACACCTTAAATACTTATTGTATCCCCTGTACCTTCTTCTACCTCTTGTACTAAATTGAATTAAAATGTTGCTTATGAACTGCAAGTTAAAAGGTATGATTGCTACTAAACCATTGCTATTCAGGTAGAATATCTTCATCTGAATTGAGATAAGCACCTTGCGCTATCATAGACCACCTTCAAATTGTCATACCTTTAATACAGTTCAGTACAGTATGAACTTTGAATTCTCAGTACATCAACAGGAAGTTGTTTGTAAAATTAAATTTGAAAGCTACAAATATTAGCCACATGTTGAAAGATATTGAATAAAATGAAAAGGCCAGTCCGCAACAGATCCAAGTGTTTTTCAAAATCAACAAATGTGTAGTGTGTACTCAAAAATACTAAAGTATTCAAACAATTCCAGAAGCTGTGACAGCGGGTGGAATTGCTTTGCATCATCCACCTTTTCATGTACTATAGTACAGGAATGATGGAAAAATTAATGCAAGGTGGTCAAGATGCTTACCTTCCAATCCCATTCCCAGAATCTTGGGTTCAAATCCTATAGCGGTAAAAGATTTTTCTCCTAACCAAAAACAGTATTGCTCACATATTGAGAAAAATTCTGTGTCTGTAAGCTGCGGGAATTAGCCGAGACATAGCTCAAAAGACCCAGTAGAATATCATGAACTGGAGGTAAATACATAATAATAATTTACAAAAAATATAATTAATAATAATAATAGTTAATAGAATTGGTCACATGCTGAGAATCTTGTGTATATGTATGTCTCGTGAAAATAAAATGAAATGAGATAGATAAAAAAGATTTGTAAAATGTAATGAGTTGATTCAATCAATTTCGTAGATATTACTTTTAATTAGTCTTCAATTCAGTCAGCATACATACTGTACATGTGTTGGCGGGATTTCTCAAAGAAAAGACAAATTTTCACTGTCAGTTCAAGAGGACTGCGATTCAATGGGCGTTCTTCAAATTCAACCAACTATTTACCATTTTTTATTTAATTTTGATGCATGAGTGTAAAAAAAACAAAAATCAGTGTTAAAAGCTGTCAAAATAAGTAGGCCCGCAGGGGCGTATGGTGAAAAATCTAAGGGGGGGGGGTCAAAACGAAAGCGCAGGGGGCAAGCTGAACTCAGAGCAAATTAGCAAAGCTTTCAGAATTCGCGGGGTGCGTTATTTGTGAGTTAAGCGAGCATATTTAAAGGGCACTTTCTTTAAAATTGGGGGGGTCGACCACACCCATCGACCCCCGACGGTACGCCCCTGGCCCGTAACTGCCCTCACAAATAATTATAAATATTTTAAAACACACACAAATCATGACAAAGGCTATCACCAAAAAACAAAAATTGACAATGCTTACTACTAAAGCCCATCCCTAACATCTGTGGGCTTTAAAGTTTATTGTTTTTTGTATCAAACCTGCATGGTTACGTGGAACAGGATTGTAATCCTCTTTGAAACAGCTTTTGTAGGACAATTATTATAGGTTCATGTGGTTAAAGCCAACCTCCTATGGACCCAAAAGTAGAGAATAATAGGAGGTATAGAAATAAAACAGAATGATTGGAAAGGTCCGCCCCCGCAGTTCAAGACATACGTCAGACGCAAGTTACCTAAGCTGTAGACCAAATATAGCATGTTTCATTAAACCAATAATAACCAGTAAAGGAGGAATTTATGCCTAATTCAAACTAAATTAATCTATCTACTTGGTTATATCTACCATACAGTATGCATTAATAGAAAATGTATTTTGAAGATTCTTAAAATGAAATGTGAATGGCTGATTGATTCATAGAAATTTCAACTTGAATGCTAGCTTTTACTTCAAACACATAAGTTTCATTTAATATAGTGAGTGTCAGAATTCAAATTCTTTATTACTTTCTGATATATTTTTTCTTGTTCTTAAAACATTTCTGTTAAAATGAGACAATATTGTAGATCATCTGTATGTACAAACACCTATCATTAATAATAATTAAACCATTTCCCAGAATTTAGTCATCTTTTAATATTTCAGTTTAATCATGATTGTTAGTTTTTTTTTTAGTGTCTAGGTACTGTACAATTTAATTATAATAATATAATAATAATAATTTTTCTGATTGAGATTTATGAAAATTTAATCTTCCACACCCTTTTTTCTACTTGTTAATAAGCTTCCCCAAAGGGTAAAAGGAGTTTTTTAGTTGAGAGCTTATTCTTTTGCATCATTGTTAATTGAGTGTTTTGTTTGTTTTGTTCATTGTTTATATATCTGGTCTCCACCCTCATGCTACAGTATGTTCCCCCTCTATAAAATGTTTGGTGGGAGGAAGAGATGTTATGGTTTAGGATGGTTGAACATGGTTAGAATTGTAACAAGAAATATTTCCTATAAATGCCACAAACTATGTAGCTTATTCAATTTGTGTACACAGCTACATCCAAATTTATCCTATGTGTAAATTTTGTTATCGTATTTAAGTAACTCACCGTATTTAAGTTAGCCCTATGCTTATTTATTGTTAAGGATAGGCCTAATTTTTTACTGCAATATGCATAATACTGTATATGAATTATTTTAAAAATAAAATTGATGTTAAAATAATAAAATGCTCCAAATGAATATGGAATTATAAAAGGGTGGGTCATAGATCCTTCCTGCGGCTGGGCCCCACTTTGTCTGAATTGTAATCCCATATGGTAGATTAATTGAGCTGTTGCCTAGACCTGACCACGTTGATAACCTTCAGAGGCTTCATCATCAGCTATTATCGGTCCAATGCTGGACAAATGTTTCAGGATGTCGACGCCAAATCAATCTTTTTCTCTGGTTGTGTCGCACCCAGTGATGGCTCTAGAATATAATTAATGGGGGGGGGTTATGGGTTTTACTATAGTGCGCAGTGTTATCTGAAGGCCGAATCCCCAAGCCGGAGGTGGGTATGGGAAAACTAGGCCTATTTTTTTTTTTTTTTTTTTGGTCCGACTGCCCGATGAGCTTTGCCCGATGGGGGGTGGGGAGTTGACCAAACCGATGGGGGATCAAGCCCCCGGCCCCCGCTGGTGCCGCCACTGGTTGCACTGTTTCATTCTTCCCCCATAAATATCGATCTCATCTCTTAATCTTTTACGTTGTTTTCCCTTGTTCGTTTTGCCATCCATGGGGTCTGTTACTGTTTGTATTTATTTGTACTCCTACTGACTACAAGTTCAACAACTATTCAACAAAATTTTACCCCGGTATTCTTAAAACGAACTTTAGCCGTAGTTCGAGCTAAAACTTAAAAATTACGTCATTTCGTATTCTTAAAACGAACTTCGACTAGCACTACGACTAAATGACGCGAACCTCGCCTAAAATTATACCTCCACAGGCCAATTTTTTTAGTCAGCCTAGGGTCAGGCTAAATCGCCGACTTGAAATATTTACCCCAATGAAAACGTGCTTTTTGTAACTTACGATAAAGTGAAATGAATAAAAATGATTGTATAAGTAGGTCTGATGTATCTCCACTGTGTTCAGGAAAAGGGACATTACGTTTAGCTTCCAAAAGGCGAAATTAGCATGTTTTGCTAGCCACATGCAACAGTTCCTCATTTGCACGAAATCCTGTCGCGTTGCGGTCACGTAGATTCACCGTAACAACAACAAAGATGGCGCCGCCCTCGCTCGACCTCAACTATAATGCTTCTCCAAAGAAAGCAAATTTTCAGTGACAGGAAATTCTCTATCGTTAAATGTTAACGACTAATATTTAATATATAATATAGTTTAGGCGAATAATGGTCTATTATGAATTATGAGGAAATATGTTTTTGAAAACGGACGGCAGTTTAATATTCTTCCGCGTTACCGGATCTCTAAAATTTCGTCTGCTATTTAAATTAGCTCTTTTCATTGGTTAGTTTGATAGTCGTTGCTTGCCAGCCGTCTTCAGCTGAACTACAACTAAGACTTGATTTAGTCGTAGTTAAAACTTCGACTACGTTGTTTGTGAATACAAATTGAAGTTGAAGTTACAACTACAACTAAATGTAGTTCTAGTTCCAAGTTCGACTAAAGTTCGTTTTAAGAATACGGGCGTTAGGGTAATTTCTATAGAAATAGAAATAATATAGAAATTATTATAATATAATAAAAAATAAAAACAATCATATTGAAATTTTTTTTTCATGTAATATTTTAAAATAACCAAAATAGATTAACATTTGAACATTTATGATCTTTACATATATATATGTATGTATATATATGTATATATATATGCACACATATTTGGGTGGGGTACTGTATGCACGTAATGTGTATTATGTACATTATTTGTGTGGGGAGGGTGAGGGATGTTCATGATTTATTTTAGATCTAAGTTGTATATTCTTTTGTTAAGTTCTTTCATTTGTTTAGCTTTAAGTTGTTGTTTTACTTTTTGTTCATAAGTTCTTTCATTTGTTTAGCTTTAAGTTGTTGTTTTTACTATTTGTTCATTAGTTTAAGTTTGACTGCGCCACTTTCTTGTGTGCTGCCACTGATGTAAAAGTGTAATGTCAATAAATATTATTATTATTATTATACTGGTGGCCTAATCCATTAAAAAAAAACTTGATATCTTTGTTTTATACCCAATCTTCAAAACTTTTTGGAAACCCCTCCTATGTAATGGTATTGTCCATGTCAGGTTGGTCAACTGCATCAGCCAAAACAGTTCATTCAGTAGCTAACCACCAGAAGTGACAGTGACACACTAACTGCACTCACCAGTCAGTAAATGCTAGCTACCATATCCACCTACAGTATTTTTGTATGGAATTGTCTTGTATTGGACCTTGATGTTCTACATTACACCTCCAAAAATGGTGACTAATTTATAACTGAAGGCTCTGGGATATTGTTCTCTGTTGAAACATTGAGAGAAAAGTAAAGTGAAATCTTTGGTAAATATAAATACTTATTTATACAGTATATGAGAAGATACCACCCTATGTATGATTGAATGTTTGTATCATAATGTAATTTACATGTTAATCATTCTCCTGGTTATTTATAAAATTTCTACGGATGTATGCAAGGCAAGATGATAAATTTCATTGTTGATATATCTGCCAGTTTTCCTGTCAAAGCTTGTTAATTAATTGGAGTTAATTCGCACGCAACATTTATCATTTGCCAATGCTGTAAACTTGACATACTTTGTTTCAATAGGTTTTAATAGAGGGAAGTTATAGAAAGTTGATAGTTTTCGATACACGTCCGTGAGGATACAATGAAGTTTGAAGGAGGTGTTATACAAAATGATTTTCTACCCCTAGCTGACTCTTGGCATTGTGCCAATGAATGCAGAATGTAAACATGTTACACCACCAATTTATTGACATTTATTTACTCATTTTGAATGGTTCTTATTATGATTCAAGAATGCATGTCCTTGGTAGGCATTTCTTGTGAGAAAATCTTGTTGCATTGTGTAAAATGTTAATATTTCCTTAATGTGTAATATGTGTGTATTTGAATATACTTTGATAGTGTGTGAGACAATCCAACACTCTAAAGCCAATGTAATTATTAATAATGTTGTCATCATAATTTTTTACATTTTTGTGCCTAAAAAATTAACTTATGTGTCACTCTTCAAGTACTATTTGTTAGGACTCTTTCTGCTTACTGTAACATCATTCCTTTATATTTAGAATAGTTTGATTACTGAACATAGGAAATGTCTTACAAAATTAAAAATATCATTGTATTTGTTTTGTTGCTAAATATTTAAATTATTAAAAAGTGCATAGTCAGATTGTTAATGCTTACTCCCGAGGTCACTAAATATCACAATTAGTCACATATTCATTAAGTAATTACTCATACAAATTAATGAAAATATTTTGTATGCCAACTACTGGCAAAATTAAGAATAATGAGAGTTCACCAAAAAAAAAAGACATCCATATTGTCGGCATTATATCCTGCAATGTACAAAGAAATCACTCACAAGAAACTGCTATCTCATCCAACACTTGCAGAGCTTATAATATTTTACTTATAACAAAATGGAACCAATCGACTTCTATTAATTAAAACCTAAATTTCCAAAGCACATTCATAGTATTTGTGGATATAAGAACATCTGGTTTTTCTCAGTGTGGTTTTAGTTTTTTGTTGGTTTAGTTCCGCTGTGGTTGATGTGGAAGCACCACTAGGAAGATTGAATTAAAATCTGCTATAACATTGTCTACCAAGCAAAGAATTGTAAATTAAGATCTGATGGATGGACTGGTACAACTGACCGTATTATTATTCAATAACTCTGTAAAGTCTAGTTCATTGTTAAATCAATTGTTGAGTTTCTTCAATGATTTTAATGTGACTAGATACTTAGAATTCAATTGTTGTGAGTTAAAATGATTCTACTAATTGTTTTTTAGTTACTCATTTATTATAGAAATAAACAGTTCATGGGTCAAACTGCTACAATAATTATATTACCGTAATTTTCTATCATTTTAAATAACTCTGCTTTACTTTATGCATTAGTAGTAATAATAATAATAATACTCAAACATTTATAAGGCGCCAATTCCAAATTGAATGATCAAAGGCGCGAACGTTATTCCCCTGGTCACTGGATAACGTACAATTTCAAACCAGCCCAAAGTGCAACCTTCTCTGCCCCCTGGGGAGTATCCCTAGTCGTTTGCTACTTCTTTAGCGCACGAAACTATGAACATTCAATGCCACAACATCCTACCAGGTACCCATTTATACTCCTGGGTAGAGAGAGGCAAACGTAGATAAAGTGCCTTGCGCAAGGATACAAGCGACTTGCACAGCGAGAGTTTCAAACCACTGACCTCAAGGTTGGGAGTCCATGCCACAATCGATGTGCCAACCGCTTCTACAAGTATTGAGGATCAAATATCATCAGCTTGGCCACTCCAAGCCTCATAGTACTCCCAAGGAGCCAGAGGATCTCCTTGGGAGTATACTGTAGTAAGACAGCAATAGGCCCTTTTTATTGCCAAGAAACAAAGTAGGTCATCTTCAGTCTTCAAAATGCTCTCGTTTAGAGGCTTTGATCGAGGCCCAAACCAAGGTTTTAAACTTAAATGCCACTGGGCACTTTTGTGAGTTCCTGACCCCCCCCCCCCCATTTGTCAATTTTGTCAACAGACCTAGCAGCAAACCTAAACTGTATGCTTGAGTGAAACTGTTAATCTCTCAGTAAATGTTAAAAGTTGCAAGTTTATAATGCTAATTTTCATCAGTTATTAAATTTCATATTTCTCATTCATTTGTTATTATAGTCAGAGAAAAAATTATTACAACATAATGATAATATTGTCATTGTTTGTAATTTATGTAATTAATAAACTGTCTTATCTGAGATGAGAATAACTGAATATGAAAGGGAAAATAGAGAGTGGTTGTCATGTTGAAAGGGAGCACGGGTAGTGGAAGTGATGGTGCTTGGAGTCATGCCATGTGGGTATAATATCTGTCGCTTTAAAGGAAGTCTTTTAGGGTCAAGAACGTAGCTTACACTTTATCCACGCTATAATACCACACATCCTAGCCCAATAATTTGCATTACTTTTCAATCAGCCTAAGTATTAGTTATAATAATGTAAATATTGTGTAGAAGGAAATGTTACGTATGGTAACCACAGTACAAGGATACTAAGATATTAGAATATCATGGTCAGAATTTTTAATAATTCAATCATATAAGTGTTGACTGAAAGTTCCTTATTATTCTGTGACAAGAATGACTGAAAATATACGTTTCTGACTAGAGATTTACTTTAATATATGATCCAGTCGTCTAAACTAGGATAACTATTAAACCGCCAATTCATCCGCGATTTTGATATTTAATTTTCTGACGATTTAACACTTTCAATCCATTTTTTTAATTCTCTTTTTCAGATATTGTCGGAAAAATGAAGACAAGATGATTAAGATTGTAAAGAGTCACTCATAATTTTGACATATTAAAGACTTGTGTAAGGTAGTGTGTGTGGTGGTTGAACAATGGCAGGTGTAACGGAATTAATAACAGTATTGAGGGAGGATTTACCAACAACAACACTCCAACCATCGCTAGTAAACCAGTGTGAGACAATCCAGTATGCATTTGACATTCCAATGTCCATTATTTGCTGTTTGTTGCTTATATTTGGAATCATATTTAGTTTTTTTGGTAAGTTCTATTTTCTTTTTATATTAATATTATTATAATTTTCTGCAAAATTAAGTATTTTTTGTGCACCATTTGCTTTCAAGATGTGTAAAACTCTAGTGAAAACTTAACAGTGTGAACCAAATATGAACAGTGCAACTCAATTGACACTTTGTGAGCGCATACAAGTACTGTACTGTGCTCGCTGCTCAACTTTTCACAAAATGTCTCGCAAGTAGTACACTAGCCATGCATTTGAAAAATCATACTATCTGTCTTTTAGCCATGTGTGGACAGTGGTTTGAATTGACCAAGGTGAAGTACCCTTCGTCTTTGTCAAAATTAATCGATGCAAACACACGGCTCTAAGGAACATTAATTCATAGTACATGTATTGGTGTGTGGCACATTTTCTGCTTATCTAAATAATCTTCACTTTTACTGTATTGCAAGTCACGTAGGGAAATTTAATTACTGTACATCAGTAAATAGCTGATTTTTTTTATAATGCACTTGTTTTTTCAAGATTATAATAGTATTTAACAAAATTTTAAAAACAAGGTCAAATACCACAATTGATATAGTTAAACAACTCATAACTAGGACGTGATTCAAAATTAAATTGCTTTATTTTGTAGACAACAATGACAATTAGGAAATATTTATGCAAATTGCTTAGTACTAATTCTGCTGAGTTATCCTGTTTGGATTTCAGGAAATACTGTATGCAAAACACCTAAAATATCTTAGAAATAAAAATATACCAAACTGTGAATTATGCTATGACCATTGCCATGTTATGACCATCCAATTCATATTATGCTATGCCAGTATTTTGATACTAGAGAGGGAAGTTTGTTCAAGTAGATGAGACTGTTTACATTGTTAAACAGCTGACCTGGAATATAGAACTCCTGCTAGTACACTGAGAGTATAGGAATAGACTGTAATATTGTAAGCCTTAGTGCCTTTTGGTAATACTGTAGGCATGATGCTGATGGAATTTAGTGTGGAATGTGCACTCTTCAAAATCTAAGTGCCATTTTTTATAAGAGATGTACAAAAATAGCCAAGGCATAGCAAGTAAAAAACATTTAAGAAAAACATGCTCTTCCAATGTCAATATTTCCTGTTTGTGCACGATTTAGCATTGGCTAGTTCCTTTGATTCAACGGTTTTTCTTGGTCAAACTAATCAATCTACTTCTTTAACAATTAATAGGAAAGTACAAACACCCACTCTACAGTATTCAGTGGTAGTACTAACCATCATTATATTTTCAATGTGTAATTTATCCCACCCGTGCTAATAGTGCTATGTAAATGTGTAATACTGTCATTGTTTATTTATAGATTTATTTATTTGCTAACTGTGTAACACTGACCGAAAGGAGTGCTGGTATCTGTTAAAAATGTGATAGTACTTTACTCTTTGTACAGTACTACTACTAGCAATTTTACAGCAATATGCTACATTCACCCTGATGGTCTGACATTGTATATTTAGTACCATCAAGTTTAATGTATGCCCACTCAAATATTGCTGTTAATAAATTGTTTTTTGTTTATTTTTCTATAATTATTTATGCTTCACAGAAAAAAAGAATTGGTTTTACAAGTGTGTCTAAAAGGTTGTGTGAGAAATTTAGGAAGTTGTATAGTGAAAAACCACATGTAAACGTTTGTTTACGTACACACCCATCCAGGCTGTGTACAGTACCCACCCAAACAAAGCTGCCCTTGTTTATTTTTGTTTATTTTACTGTGCAATACAGACAAAGTGGTGGTTGGTGTCAGAAAATTCTAGTGAGAAAGTACAGTACATAGGTAGCAAGTTGCATATACAGACTATACACAAAGAAAACGGTGTATATTGCATAATTTGGTTGTTAACAGCATCTAGTTACACATTATTGTGAGCAGACGATTCTAGCCTTCAGCATATTCTAAGAACGTTGTCACCAAATTCAGCAAAGTTATGTTCACACATGAACAAGTTCATGAAAGGCAATGAACATGACACCCATCACAGTGGGACAGAAGCCGCTACTTGACAAGGAGCAACACTGATGTGATGCTACTCTACACTAATGCAGTGGATGATCTTTGATGGGATGGTGGTATCATGACAATGTGCATGCTATTCCTCCTGCTTTAACTGCTAATTATCTACAATAAATGCATCAGATATCTGCCACCTTGGCAGGATACCTCTGATTTTTGGTTAATAATGATAAATTCAATTAAATAAAAATATTACAGTAATGGTGATGTTGATGAAATTCGTGAAACGGTAAATTGTGATGAAATTGATGATGATGATTATACAAAAGCTGATGAGTATATTAATAAGGCTGGGGGGAGGGGGAGCGGGGGTGGATGGGTATAAGTAAGGTCAGTCGGGTTTCGGTAACAAAGATTTTTTGGCATAATGATTGGTGATGATGATGATGGATGATGATGGTAAAGGTAATTGAAAATATTGGATAAATGTCTAAGAGTAGAGCCAATCTAAGTGCTTGCAGTTGTGTCCATCTTGAAACTCTCGCTACATTGTAAAAATATAACAATGCCATACTTGGCAGCAGCAATGTGATTTCATCTAATACAAAAAAAAATCTAACCTTCCCCTGTCCTCGTCATGTCCAATGCCATGCATAATGTGCTTTTAACTCAATTACCTACCAGAGCTATTTATTCAAACTACTTTACTTTGATATTGAATATAATCAGTTTGCTTTGCTCGCAAACAACTTTTGCACATTTTCAATTTCGATGTCAAGGAAAAATTAATTTGATGTATTGAGGATTGCCTGATTGAAGAAAATGTGGCATTCATGGATGTGAGCCCAGGATTTTAAAACAATGCACATGAAGCCTTAAACCCTTATATCCTTTGCACATGCCTACAAGTTTCCCAGCAATATTCCCAAACATTTTCCCAACATGGAAATGATTAAAATCATCTGTGAATTGTAAGCTTGGATAAAAATGGCGGAAGGTGAGCAGGTTCTTAAGTCTATTTTTGTTTTGTACAATCCAACTTACATCCGCCTCTATAAACACCTGCAACACCTTCAACACTTTTCACTGTAATCCTCTTTCCATTTTCTTACTGTAGTTTTGTTTCCTTGTAAAGGTTTCTTTTACTTTCTGTTGTTAAAAATTCAAATTTTGAATGCATGTGTCAGCAATGAACAGTTTCCTTTATACTTTGATATTTAGGACTATCCTGTACACCTATGGGAACTGTTTAAGGTTCCTTTTTGCTGTTTACTTCTTTTTTGCTGTTACCAAAAGTTACCAATACTGCTTTGTTTAAGCATAGAGAAAATAGAATTTCTCTATGGTTTAAGTCGTACAAGCAATTTACCAATAATTTTATGGTATTCAGAGGCTTAGAATTAGGACCAGACCGAAAGGTTGAAGGTCACATAAATCTTACAGGATTGGGCATTGTATTACAAAATTAATGGTGCCTATCATAAACTGAATTTTTAAGGGAGACATGCTTGAATGAGCTATTTCTCCATCCATTTTATTGTATAGTCATAACCTGCAACTAGAAGGACCGCCTTCACTTATTCTTGAAATACACTTTATGTTTTTATAAGAATACATTGTAAGAACACTGAGGCTGAAATTGTTTTTAGCAGAACTATTTGCTAAATATGGAAACAAGTTTATTTTTTTTTCGCCCTCCTCTGATGATCTTTAAAAGAATAAGTTTGCGAAATGAGGTATTAAAAAAGTATCTCCTTATGTGCAGTAGTGGTGAACAAGTAATACCCTCTATAATACTGTACAGTAATACTGCTATACAATAATAATTTTCTATGTTTGAAAAATGTATAAAAATGAAAAGTATAAAGAAAATTTTAGTCTGAAATTGGCAAATAAAATAAGAACACTGAGTCTGCGCCAAATTTTACTGGTTCTTAGTGTATGTGATTAAGAAATAATTAATCATTTCCTCATTGTGATCATCATTTCTCATAATTTGTTTCATTATCGCTATCTTTATTCATTGCATCATCATTTATATCATAAAGGTGTTGTGAATACCAAATAAGAGAACTCGGATTTTACACAGTTCACCAGGAATTCCAGTCATGAACAACAAAATATTTGAATTCCTTTATTTTTACATCATCCCATCTCAGAGCTAACATGGTATGTGTTTAGACCAGGAAAAACAGCTAATCTTTTGGGACCAGGCACATGGTAGACTAATACCACCACTAAACTGTCTGTGTTAAGAGATAATAAAATTTAATTGAATTTGAATTGCTGACTTTCTATATTAAAGTGAGTTCTTTCCTTGCCAATTAACAGACCCCTGGTGGTATCTGCTATCGCTAATCAAGTGTTGTCTTACTAAAATGTCTGTAAATCAGCAAAAACTAAATAGTTTTGAAATATCATATTGAATCTATGCTTTCTTTGAACACTATTAAAAGTAGTGAACAAAGCAATGTTGTTATTTTAAACAGATCTTGGAGGTGTATTTAAAATAATAATTACAAACAGGTAGAAATAATAAATATTAGAGAAAAATCTATGTCCCTATCAGGATTCGAACCCAAGACCTTCTGATTACCATTCGGATACTCTAGCAACTGAGCTATGAGGCCAAGTGGTATACACCCTTGGTTTTTCCCATTAGGACACGTTTCTTCTCAAGGTATTGCTATGCAATGGATACTACTGTAGTATAGTAAATCACATGAAAGTAACTTTGGTAGAAACAGATAGAAGTACTGAGCTAAGTACAAGTTTGTCTCCTAAAGAATTACTCATTGAAACCAATTTGTTAAACAATTTGTTAAAAATGTTCAAAAGATTCTATAAAAAAAAATCAAATAAAAATTAAAACAATTTGATTAAGAAGTTGCTTATTATTAATTTTAAAAATTGTGCAATAATCATCTAAAAACAAATTGTTTTAAAATGTTGAGTAATTGTATTTTAAAGTTTTTCTAGATTTACCAATACAGAAATGTGACTGATTGACTACACATGACTGTTTATTGAATGTTTATGGGGGTGACTCATTCAAAAGTTTACCTCCAGTTGTGTGGGTGACTTCATAAAGTTGTCTATACCTGTCAACTTCACCACTTGGGGAGATTAATCAACAGTATTACTGTATTCCCTGTTGAATGCTTTGTATTATGCTTGGTAGACAGGCGGGAGGAAAGGTCCATAAATTACAGTATGTATTTCCTGGAGATCACAAGTTGTTGATATGTCAGCAGAGGTTAGACTGGTTCATTTGCACTCTGTCATTTAATATTGGTTACTAAATTATTGACCTGTTGGAATACTTTTATATAGCCATGTGGTCCAGTTTTTAGCCTGGGTAATTTCCATGCAGTACTGTATGGATTACTTCAACAACAAAAAAGCATCCATGGGTGTAGAAGGAAGTACTGTATACCAGGATTACCTAGACAAGAGGGCTTTTAAATACTATTATGCATTTGTCAGCAAAAATGTCCGAACCCCTTTCCACCAAATGCTTTATAATCTACAGTACGCCATTACTGTACATTGCCACTGTCGTGAGCCTCACTCTCTCAGGGGTCCCATGTTGGAAGAACCCATTTCTGGGAGATTCGTTTAATGACCATGGGGGTGCTATATTTTCTATGAGGAAAAGTTGTAGGTACCAAACAAAGTGCCATGCCCACCTCAGGCTCATCATGATTGGGCTGAGGTGATAACATTTTTTTAGAATAGGCACATTTAGAAGCCGGAAATGGCACTGTCAGACTGCAAAAAATAATTGGCAACCAAAGTTTGGGTCTAAATGAAACAAAAAGATTTGTGGGTGGGGATAGGCATGCACCCATGACAGCAAAGTACAGTCACACCCAGGTGCACACATGACAAAATCTCTTAATCTTCTCAGAGTGCATGGTGTTCTTTACTCATGGATCTCAGGATTTTACTGTACATAGGACCAACTGTTTTTTCCCCAAAATAAAGTGTGCTTTAACCATCACAGGAAGAGCAGCTTAACCGAACAGAATAGACCAGGGACACAAAAATGCTATGGTTCAGCGCACACACAATAGTTTTATATCCAAATGCTGCTCTCGGTTCTGTAAATTAAGGCATACTGTAATCTAAAAAGTATAAACAAATTGACAAACATACAGTATTCATCAAACAGTAGGAGGTCATTAAGATAGGCACTGTACTAAGTATAGTACTGATAAGTACTGTACAGTATTACTAAAAAAATGTAACTTAGTAGTGAAACTTGTTTTCCTAGCTGTGTAATATGCTTCATGTGAAGATTTGTAATTGACAGGTTCTAGGTATCATGCTTTTTTTTTTATGAAAGTGTAAATGTTGTGTCATAGTATTAATCTGATAACCAGTTATCTTTCACATTCAGGAGCATTAATAACATCAGTGTATAGGCCTAATTACTTTAAAGGATTTTAATCTAAAGAAAAACAAGACAACAAAGGGTTTAATTTTTAAAGTATTCAATTAAATTTTGTTTAAAAGTTATATAGGTGATTGTGGCAGACTATTCCAGAGTAAAATAAAAAATGGATAAAATGATGATTTAAAAGACAGAGTGCATCCAAATGGAACAAACAAGGAATCGGAATGATTAACTAAGATACCACGAGGAATATAATGCATTTACCTAACAAAAAAAGTTAACAATTAATTAATATTGTTTGTTCTTATTGGCAGGTTATCGATGTTTCAAAGCAGTGATGTTCTTAGTTGGTTTTATGTTTGGAGCCGTTGTTGTATTAATCATTTGTGAGGAAGAAGATCTACTTTCAACAGGTGCAAATGCAGGTATCGCAGTTGGCATTGGCCTTTTATTTGGACTAATTACCATGCTAGTGCAGTATATTGGACTATTCATGACTGGATTCCAGCTCGGTCTTCTCATTGGAGTCTCCACTCTTATCATTCTGGAGCAGTTTTACCATCCAACGACATTCTGGTTTCCAGTAGGGATCACGTTTGGTTGCGGGGTTGTTTGTGCGCTTCTCACGTTGCAGTGGCAGAAGTCCATGGTTATTCTATCAACATCCATCACCGGTGGATCGACAGTCGTCGTCTGCTTGGATTACTTTATGGAGATGTTTATAATGGTGAAGTATGTTTATGATCGAATGCGTGCAAACGAGTCCATCTCTGTGTGTTGGTACAGCTGGTTGATATTAGCCGTATGGCCGATTGTTGCCGTTGTCGGAATTATAGTTCAAATACGAGTAACAGGAAAGGATTATGATCATAAAGAAGGTAACCATAATTATTGTAATTCTTAGAACTTCCTGAATTTGATTGCAAAAAGCTGTGGGAATAATGAAAACATCACAATGATAGATTTTATATGAATCATTTTTCACATTGACTGATAGCATACTTACAAATTATTGAAATTTAATACTCTTTATATAAACCACTGTATGTCTCAATGTGAGGCTTACTGTAGGTAGGGTGGATTTATTTTGGCAAGATGAACAAAGAATCATGGACTTATTACAGGATTTGAACCCATGATCCTTATTCCCATGGTCTGATAAAACACTTGAATAAATTGACTAATCAAGCCTAACATAGAGACTTATTTTATAGAGCATCATAGACTGAGGTGATCAGCTTCCCCTTTAATTTAAAGAGAAATTTCTGCAAAAAGATTCTAGAGTACAAATGTCATAATGTTTTATTAAATTTAATATTTATCGGCATAATAATTTTTTTCATTTTAGTGGCCAAGCCAAGGACTCGTCCAGCAACAAAACGAATGGAGTTGTACAAAATACGTCAACAGGAATCGCGGAATATGAAGCAGCAAAGGTATCGTTACTTACACCAAATCCGGCGATATAATGGCGATATTGTGACACCGGTAAGTTTATCTAAATGATGGAATTATTGTGTTTTAAAGCCACCAGTGAAAAGATATTTTCACTGGTGGTGTCCGATAAAATTTCTGCTGCATCTCTGCCTTCCATAAGAGGTTTGATCTTACTTGTGTTTGTGATCCCTATGTCCCTTTCTAGTATCCTATCAATGTAGTCTTCACCTCATTTTTTATTTTATTTCAGAGTTACCTACAAAGTGTTCATGATGCCATGTCGCCAGACCTTCCAGAAATCATGGGAACGTACACAAATGTACCCCCCTCGCCACCACCTAAGGGCCTCACTGATTTACCACCATTACCAGATAACTTTAGCGACACCACCACCGACGATAACAACAGGTTTAGCGCGGGCCAGTATTTTGATGACCCTCGCCAAAGTGAGGGTCACTTTTCTTTTCACGAACAGAACCGCAATAGTGCGCACTCGAAAAAATTTGAAGACAGTCATCGTAGTCGCCAAAGTCCACGCAGCAGCCACAGTCAACGCAACAGCTTTCTTGAAGAGTTCACATATGTTGATGAAAATCGTGATAGCGTTGGACAATACTCATACGTAGACGACAGCACACTGCCAATGCCTGTATGACAGTCTGCGAATATTTATGAAATGTCTCTCCCAAATGAAGAAGAACCGATGTATCAGAATGACCTGAGTTAATTTTGCAGAATTCCACTGTTTTAGTGAATTTCTGAGAAATATTAGTACCAAAGCAACTCTTAGGGAATGCTTTGTACTGAGATTTGCAGCAGTTCTTCCGGGATAGACACTTCATAAATATTCTTGAACGATAATGGTAAACATAACCAATGCTGTATATTTTGTAGATACTCATCGATTTTAATTATGTTCAATAACTATTGTATATATCTAAAGATATTGATAACAGTGTAATTTTTTTAAAGAAAATTGCTGTTAATGCGTGGTGCAAGAAAAATGCAAATTAAACTAGGACAAGCCTTACTATAAAGGCAAGGAATGGAAACAGAGGGAGTGAATGAAAATAACAACAGAGGAAGGGAACTGAAATGATAACTGAAAGAATGAAAATGATAAAAGAGGAAGGGAATGGAAATGGCACCAGAAGAGAATGCAAATGAAAACAGAGGGAGGGAAAGAAAATGGCAATAAGGAAATAGATTTATTACAATGGTATCAGGAGGGAATGGAATGACAGCGGCTGTGTATATATATAGAGAGAAATAAGGGTTAACACTAAGCCCAGATAGCTGTGCTGACATTAGCAATGAATAACTAAATTAGGAAAATACATGCGTGCAGATTTTTAATAAACACATTAAAGCATGCTTTAAGATGTTTGACTTTTATTCTGGTTTTTCAATATACTTTATGGTGACAATGACCAGATACTGTACTGTTGACACTTGAAACTGGAATATGTGGTAGTGCATCAGATATGCCAATAATAAGTTTAATAAAAGTGTAGATACAAATTGAATTTGGTTAATAAATTAATTACTGTATTATTAAATTTAATCAGGCCTCACAGGTTAAATAATAATTAGATCAAAATAGGAAAAATGTTTAATAATTACATGTACACTATTTGAAAAAATAAATGAATAAACTGTTATTACTTATGAAAATATTTTAATGCCGCCTACTCAACATGTTATAGTGTGATATTCCTAGAGAGATTTCTGAACATATTTGAAGGAATACAAACAGTTACACATGCTAACAGTAGGATTATTATTGTAATCCTTGTATTTGAATTTGGAGGCTCTCTACTTTCACTTGTTGCTATCTTGTTTGTTCAGCTAAGCTAATAATTCTTACAATAATTATGAGTGTAGCAGCCAAGTCAAGGTACTGAATTAACAAGACCACAACAGGAAGATTAGACTACCATTTAACAGTTAGTACTTTTGAACTAGATTTTTGTTGGTGGAATAATTCTGTATTTTGAGGGTTATAACAGAATGGTTAATTTAATTACTGCGATATTTAGTCAGACAGTGGGTCAAATGGTAGGCCAGACAGTGAGTTGAACAATGAGTCACACTGTGCTGTAAGCTCTGCCACACTATGTGACAGAACCCTGTGTGTGTGGACCAAGACAAATAATTGAGTCAGACAAGAACCCTGTGTGTGTGGACCAAGTCAAATAATTGAGTCAGACTAACCATGACAAGGGACAGGCAATGGGGTCAGACCATGTTATAGAACATGTCAGGGGGCTAGAACGATTGTCAGATGTTAAGTAAGAACGAATGACTGAGGCATCTTTGTGGAAAGTTTTTAGTTTGTGCCAAACAACCTTGGCATTTAAAAAATGGCATTTTTGAATCAACATTGTGCATCACTTTTTGGCAGATATAGTGATTTTAGTATAGGCTTATAAATATTGGCATCAATAAAAAAAAATCATAACCTTGCCCAGACTGAATATTTGTTGCGAGAGAGAATGAAACTTTCTATAAAGACCGAGGCTTGACGAATTGTTGCATTAAGAGTTGTTAACCAGCAATAATACAGATCTATACATTGTCAATGTGTATTGATTCCTTTGGTGTGAAATACTTGAATGAACAAAGATAATCATAATAATAATCAGGCATTTGTGAAATTGTATCAATTTTCTGCTAGGTAAAAATGCCTATACTATATTTATGTTTTCACATTTTGTACTAAAATGTTTGTTTTTGCCTTGATTTGCTTCCATGTAGGCCTACACTAGCAATGTAAGCACTTCAGACAGATGTTTAGTATAGGTTGTTTGTACTGTATTAAAACTGGAACAGCTGAAGTTTTGGAATTACATTATTATAAGGGGTTATTACTGTAAATACAATTTGAATAGACAGATTAAAAACAGGATAAATTGACTAATTAAAAAAAAAAATTAATATACTGCATGTATGCCATGTCTGGTACTGGTAGGGCAAATGAGCATGTATGCTATGCCTGGTAGGGCAAATGAGCATGTATGCTATGCCTGGTAGGGCAAATGAGCATGTATGCTATGCCTGGTACTGGTAGGGCAAATGAGGTAAGCGGTATTGGGAACCAAGCAGTGATGGGTGCTCAATATTTGCTGCCTGGAATTTTATGCACAGTAATGTCTCTTAATGTTATAAAAATATGGTAGTGCATGGGTTCAGGAAGAGAGTAATTTTAGAAGGACCTACAGAATGCTTCACACATCCACTGCACTGTAATCAAATTACAGTACGGGAGTCAGCAAGGTTCAGTGTCAGTGACCCTAGCCCAACCCTACTCCCTCCCTTATTTTCTGTAAGCCTGATATAACCTCAGTGACATACAAGTTTGGCTTTATAGATTAGGAACTGTCCAAGACAGTAATGACCCCAAAGGTCTCTCATGTGACCCTTTGGTCAGAATTTCCTCTGATTATTTTAAGTATGGCTGTTCAAGGGACAAGTTTATATAGAATTCTGCACCAGTTGTTAATACAGGTATATGATTTATTAATTGTATAATTTAAATAAATTTGTTTTCTCCCTTAGGCCTCTTTGGGGGGACAAGTTTATATAGAATTCTGCACCAGTTTTTAATATTTGATTTATTAATTGTATAATTAAAATAAATTTATTGTTTAGGATTAATTACAGAACTAGAAAACAAATTTATCCTAAACAATAATGTGATAATTTATTTATTGGCAGTATATGTATAATAAATTGTTTGTTGTGTTTCTTAATACAATACTTGAATTTTGTTTTTGGTGTTTCACTGTTTGTCCACATTGAGGAAGGTGTGGTCAGATACTTTACTGAATTTTCTTTAAAAGGTAGAAGTAGCCACTCCGCACAAATCTGCATGGCAAGATATTACCTTAAATGTCTCTGTTATGAAGTACAGTTGAACTTGCCTAAGTCAAATCCAAAATGGCATTGACAAATTTGACTCGGATTAAATTAGAAAATATTCAAGATTCAAGTTAGGCAATTTTAACTGTTCTCTGTTGTTGCTAATTCTCAATTAATTTCTTTGTGGAAAACTACTTTGAAAAAGGATTCGTAGTCTGAAAAGGCAATTAACAAGCATATAGGGCTGCTTATTCTTATCGTCTCTGACACCACCACTATTATTTCATACACCATTGTTATTTTTATATGCAAGATCAAAGCCAGGCATAAACTATCATATTTTTGTCTGTTTGATATTAGACTGATGAAGTATTATCAACTCCTGCAGTCTGAGATATATCAGTACCTTATCGAACCATGAGGCTTACAGAGAAAAATATACTTATGCTGGCTTTAGTGATGTTAAGTTTAATAACAGAGCCAATACTTATGAACCCAATGCATGTATGGTATTAAACATCCCAAGGGGTGTAGGATGATGCTAGCAGCTTATGTTGTTGTCTCTGCTCTTTTGATGACCTCCCAATATGAGACATGTTAATGTTCTACAACCGTATGTGCTGTCTATGTTCTTATTTTTGACCTCCTATATGAGACATGTTAATATACTATTATAGATGCATTATGTTCTTGTTACCTTTGAGATGTGTTACTTAATGCAATAAACTATTTTTGAAAGGCCATAATACTTGTTTTATTGTGCATCATTTGGCGAATGGTGAACTTGTTGATTGCTGACTAATATTAATATATAATAATAATAATAATGAATACAGTTGAACTAGCCTAAGTCGAATTTGAAATGCCATTGAAATATTGTTCAACTTAGATAAAATTGAACTTGCAGATTGTTAATTTAAAAGGAAAACAACAATTTGGCATGTAAAATATGATGAAATTATTCGACTTCAGCAGACGACTTAAGGCAAGTTTAACTATTTAAAATTCAACTTAATTGAAGCAACAAAGACATTTCAAATATAAAATCCATCTTTATTATGCAAGATCATATATTTTATAAAAAATATACATTTCAAAATACAAATATCTAGTAGAAATACTGGATATCAGAATATATATCCTGTAATACCGGTATGTAATGTACATCTTATGGCATATTCACCATATCTTATTATTTGGCATATTTTCATGTATACTCATATACATATCTATTGCACCGCTATGGTCAGTATTGATAAAATATTGCCCTGTTATACACACTTGCTTCAAACCCATTTTGTAAAACAACATTTGTCACATTCATTAATTTTTTTTTGCACATCACTGGTTGATACAATGCAAAAAAGTGACTTGTAAACAACATTATTTCATTATTCTTTATTAGTTGACGTCCACAAACGTGTGCTTGTTGAAAATACTGGTTGAATTGCTACACAACATTACAGTTCTGGTTCTCTGTTGGAATGATAAAGCTAATGTAATGATTAATATACAAAATATCTGTGTATGACGTGCTAATGAAATTATTTTCCTTGCAAATTAAAATGCATATACATTTTACCTTTACAGTATAACTTGTATAGGCTTTTTAAAATTGGCTGGCAAACAATAAAAGGTTCAAACTTATTTGATTTGGAAGGGGTAGGGTTGGAAGTGGGGTAGTAGTTTCCAGAATTCACCACAATACTGTACATCTTAAAATCCAACAATTATATGAAAACAGGAATATTAGACACATCATCTCTGAGAAAGAAAAGAAATAAATATAATCATGTCATCAGTGCGCCTCAAAAATAAAAATTAGAACCATCTGGTACTCGATAAAAAACAACATGCTTGAAAATTTAAAAAAAATTTTTAGAAGTTATGATGATCATAGCAGTTGATTTCACCAGCTACATTCATTGTTTCAGAATCCAGAATATTAATCTCTAAAAAACAAGACTTATAATTAATAAACACATTTCACCCAACCAATACCCTTTTCCTTCAAAAGATGTACTGACAATTGAAATTTGAATCGATACTTTATAATTGGATGTTTCTCATGTTTGATTAATTATTGCTTCATTGCTTTTTAACTGCACTATAAATGATACCTGAACAAAATTTGTTGCAATTCTAAACCTTGCAACCAGTAAGTGCTAGATCTAAAGTGTATTTTTCAATGCATTATCAGTGTCGGTTACTGAAACCATAAGCTTTTGAAAGTAGCTGAATTAAAGTGGATTCTGATTCAAGAATTTGTCATCCCTGTGTATAAAATCTAGGCTTGGATTTAAAGCTTTAAATGAATAAAAAACCATTATAAAACAGTTAAGGTATGGTATAGCTAGGCCATGTATATCCACTGTCTTCAGTTCTTATTGAACCTTAAGTGGGCATTTAAACGATCCCTGGAACTAAAGGTAATGTGCTCTAAAGCTGCAAGCCTTTCTTGAGTCATCTTCCTGTAACACAGATCAGATAATTAATAGCGACTCTTGTTATGTAGAGCTTTATACTAGGCAAGGGGCCAGCTGAAAGGACAGTAAAAAACACACATCAATAAAGTTTAAGAAAAAACTGGAATAGTCACTGTCTCAATGTGTGAGTATTCTTACATGCAACATTTAATGCTACGTTCATTAGAACTTGTGAAAACTGATTTCATAACTTGTAACATGCGAGTACACAAGAAGAGTGCATTCATTTGACGAACGCTAAATGGCTGTAAAACGCTTTTGTAAAACATACAAAAATTTTTTGTTAATCTGAAATAATATTACTTAAACAAATTGTAATAAATATGTTGGGTTGCAAATAAAACATACAAACAACACTCTTTTTTTAAAAAATAATATTACTTAATAAACAAATTGCAATAAACACCTATGCTCGTTGTGCATAGTTTGTGTTACATTTTCCACACTACTTGTGCAAATCGTGGAAGAAAATTATACTCGAGTTCACAACTTGTGCTTACAAGTTCACCAATGAGATGAACACGTTTCACAACTTGTGAACTGGGAAACACCGACTTCACAAGTTCTAATAAACGCAGTATTACACATGCAGGGTACACACATGTGCATGCGTGTGTGTGCAACATGCAGGGTACACACACGTGCATGCGTGTGTGTGCCACATGCAGGGTACACACATGTGCATGCGTGTGTGTGCAACATGCAGGGTACACACATGTGCATGCGTGTGTGTGCAACATGCAGGGTACACACATGTGCATGCATGTGTGTGCAACATGCAGGGTACACACATGTGCGTACACACATGTGCATGCATGTGTGTGCAACATGCAGGGTACACACATGTGCATGCATGTGTGTGCAACATGCAGGGTACACACATGTGCATGCATGTTTGTGCAACATGCAGGGTACACACATGTGCATGCATGTGTGTGCAACATGCAGGGTACATACATGTGCATGCATGTGTATGCAACATGCAGGGTACACACATGTGCATGCGTGTGTGTGCAACCATAAAGAAAATAGAACATCATCTGTTCTATTTTCTCTATGGTGCAACTTCCAACGGAATCCATTTGCTAAATAGAAATATGAAAGTTTCAGGACATGAAAAGTAGGAAATACTTCATAATTCACAAAATCAATAAATTAAAACAGGAATCAAAATATTCATCAGAAAGCATTCAACATGATGAGAAAACCAATGGTGCATTGATACACAGGGTTATTGTGATTCTAATGGGAAGGGACTACTGGCAGAATTAATTACACTTACACATCAAACATAATCATCAACTTGAATAACTTTGTAAGAATGATTTAAGTAGCAGCTATCATTAATAAGGAAAATTTATAATTAGAATAATGTAATATGTTTATTATTATTATTATTATTATTATTATTAACATATTACAATTAGAATAAGTTATGGCTTACAAAGGTCTTGTACATACTGCATTATAAAAGCAAAGTCAATATGTGATATTTATACTGGCTAAAAACAAACACAAAATAAGCTATGACAAAAAAAAAAGCAAAACATAGAAGCAAAAACAACGCCAGTTTTCTAAACATCATCATTATCAGACTTGAAAACTTGATAAAAAAACAATAATTAAAAATTGAAACCATACTAGATTAAGTACTGTATAAAGTTTTGCTTAAATATATAAATGATGACAATATTATAT